CTTTACAGACTTTACAGTCAAAACAAGGTAACAGAAAGCTGTCTCATACACTTCCAGGCCACACTGGACTTCAATTAGTACACCAGTAATTAGGGCTGTTCGATATAACGATATATATCGGATGACGATATAAAAACGTCTATCGTTTGTTTCGTGGTGTCGCAAAATAAGCTGTTTATGGCAATATTTTTTCATGGTTTTGATGGTCACTGTAGTGGCTATATTAATTTCTTAAAGTTCTCTCTTTCTCTTATATTTAATATAACCACACTACGGATGGACAATCGGCTATGTTTATGCGTTGTGGTTAACAACAACGACGGTCACACCACCGCGTGTCCGCTTGTTTATGTTCCACATAAACCTTTCACAATAAAGCTCAAGATCCTGTTGAGACTTTTCAAAATAAACTGAATCACGTGAAAGAGCAGATTATTTATGGATGAGAAGTAAAAAAGAGCCGCCAGGTGCTAAAAAATAAAGCTTAGACTCAAACGTTAGAACAGGCTTTTCCCCGCAGCACGCCGTGTAATAAATACTCACAAAGAAAACGGCGGCCGTTACAACTTATGTCTAAAGATGCATCGTTTCATGCATCGGTTAAAACACTCGACTCCAGCTACATGATGTGCAGCTGGAAACACTTCACACAAGACGAGATTCACAGAATTTACAGAAAATGTTACATTTTTGTGATTTATATCGTTATCGGACGATAGATGTTTTATATCGGGATATGAGATTTTGGTCACAGCCCTACCAGTAATCACGAGTAACCTTCAGCAGCCCTTCTACATCCACAATATGCTACAAATATTAGAATAAGAAAATAATCATTAGCCAATAGCAATTAAAAAAAAAAAATCAATAAATCTATGCTACATTATATTTATCAATGAACTGATTTATTTAAATGTTCAACTAACATCCATAACTGGGTTTGACAATCTTCAAAGTTCGATTTTTTATTTTATTTTAAATTCTCACTAATTCTAATTCTCAGTGTATTTCAGGTCCTGACAGAAACTTACTGGATAACAGTTTTCTTTGATGAAAATATGCTAAAACATTTGCTCTTCACTAATGTACACACCTGAAACTCTCCAGATATTCCTGCAGAATAAATGCGGCACAGCTGTAATTTCTTTGTAAACATTATTCGTTTCTTTACCACACAAATCCTCCGCTACCTCGTCGTCCTCCTCGGCTTTCTTTATGACTAAATAGAGATTCAGCCATCTGTCACCAGAGTTGTGGAGTTGTAAAAGTATTTTGTCTCGCAGCAATTATATCATCAATTCTATCGTTATCACAAATTTTCACATATATATCGTGAGAAACATTTTTGGCCATGTTGCCCTGCCCTCGCTACAACGTAACCACCTACGCAGCCAATATCGTTCCAGGCAGTTATGCTTTTGCTGGGAAATAGCGCACACATGCACATGAATACCCATTCATGTCTGTGTTGTAGGGGTCTGTTATATTCTATGAATGTAACATTCTGCGATTATTATTATGAATCTCACAATAAGAAATTGCCTCGATGGACAAGTAATCACCATCAGTGACGATGACAATCATCAATCTCTCGATGTTGTTCATGTTTGCCCGTGAAAGAGTGTAGAGGTGTTTTTCCCACTGACAGAGTTCCCAGAACGGAGGCATCCTATCAAAAATATTTACTGCAGATTGAGCACAAACTAATCTCCCTACAGGAGATCTTCAAAATGGACTTACAACGCTAATATTGGTTAGGATGTGCCCTTCAATATACCTGCTGTTCCCTCAACTAGCCTCACTAACCGAGATATTAAGTTAAAGTGCTTGATGCGAAGTGTGAAATGGTTCTGAGGCGGCCGTAACCAAACGTAGTCATCAGGAATTCCAGACATATTCTTGAAGGATTTTGGAAAATATGTTAACAACATTTTTCCTCCACTTCCTGGATGGGAATGGGAGTGTCGAGTCAGTGAAGGCAGCAGGAGCAAAGTCCTACTGCTGCTAGCGCCTCTCACACACACACACACACACATATATTGCACAGAGAACCTTCTAACAAGTGATGAATAATTAAATGCTGCTCTTTAAAACACACAGGAGAAGAGTTCACCTGTTTTATTAAAAAGACAGAGATGAGAAGCAGGGTAAAAGAGACGGTGGGCAGACAGAGACACGAGCAGCCAAAAGGTCGGACTTTTTAAACGCTTACTCCAGTTTGTCTGGGAGCTCTCCTTTGTAACAAACACAGAGGACAGCGCAAACAAAAGAGAAACTGACGACATGGTTCATCGGACAAATGGCAAACTGGACAGTGTCTCTGGAAGGAGGCAGCAAGATTAGAAGGAAGCAGGAGCGGCCAAGTGTTTAAAGAAGTAACAGCTGTCACAATGGGATCCCAGAGGTAGACGCCATAGTTTTCAATATCATACTATGACAAATACAGGCTTTTTTTGTGTTCCAGATTGGGTCAGGAGTTGGAATTTACGAGTTACCAGCTGGAAGCTATCGTGTGTTTGAGACTCGCTAACCCATATGAAGAGCACTGACCAGGCGCTGAATGTGCTACAGCTGTGGACAAATTAACAAGTACTGCTAGTGATGCATGAAGGGCTCTACCTTTGCTAAGAAGCAAAACAAATCATGTTTCTGGTGCCTCTGGGTGCAGTTCCAGAGTGAGGTTAAAAGGTGCACAAGGCAGACTAGAGGATGGGCAGTAATGCTGTTGCTGTATCAGAACTAAAAAGGAGGAGATTTAGAAAAATGTAGGTTTTCCCTGACTTACAATCATGAGCTCTGGGGAAATAACTGGAAGAACGGGACTAAAGAATCCTGAGGAGAAAAACAGGATTTCATGTGGCCTCATGAGCGCCACAGGAGGAGATGGGCATCTAGACTATGTTGAAGAGCTTGCTGTCCTGCCTGGATGCCCATCCAGACTCCATGCAAGTCACAAAATAAAATACAAAGCTGAGCATCTTGCAAAAAACACTTGATCCTGCAGTTCCCCTCAGCTCAACATACCACTCCCAGGTATTTTGTTTGTTTGTTTTTTTTAAAGAAAAAACCCCCATCTTGACTGGTGTTGTGTTGGGACCACTAGCACCTAATCGGCTCAGGTCCATTTGTGTTACTTGTTAGTGTTTCCGATCAGGTAGCAGTCCCTGGTACCAGGTTCTTTTTTAGTACTTGCTCGGCTGGAATCACAAGTGATCCGAGTCGATCTGAAAATGTGAGATCAACAGACTGCAAGCCAACAACTGACCCATCGATGATGTCACTCGATGAGTCATGAGAGTGGCTTGTTCCCAAAAATCAAAACTGCTCATTTTGAAATTCGGCAACGATAGAAACGGCTGCACAAAGACCGACACCATGGTCACCGACTCACAAACACCCAGACGTCCTCCATTGTTCCGTTGCATTTGTTTTGCAAGCAAAGACATCACAGGACTTTCGGCTGTAATGAGCCAGGCGCACTGAGGTGGTCGCTCAGTCATAATGGAAAACAACAGAGACCGAGCAGAGTCGAGTCAAGCTGGGAAGGTACTAGTGGAAAAGAGGCATAAGCGATTCCTCAGTCCAGAGCTTGAACCAAATACAGAACAATTTCTGTTGCACTGACCCCAAGTGGCCAAAAGAAGAAGAAAGAAAATAATAAGTTTAAATTTAGTTTTAAAAAAATTGTAAATATTAACAGAAAGCAGCTGTGATTGAACTTTATACCTGAATTAAAATGTTTCTCCCTTTCATAATCTTTATTCCACCTGTGTGATATTTCATTTATGCCAGTCCAGGTCAATCTGGCCACACCTCTGGTTACTGGTAGTGAACCAAGTTGCATTTTAGTTCTCCAGATCCTCCCCAAGTCTGTTTCAGATGAACCATGAACCACTGAGGACAAGGGTAGCAGCTTCAGAACATTTATCCATTCACAGTGCAGCCAAACCAGAGGTCAGTGGGCACATAGTCATAAAGACATTTTAACAGGCTCAAGCAGCACTATGCTTTAATATTCAGACTCTCACATAGGTAAAATAAATAAGACGCCATCAATAATACAATATGCACGGTCAGCCTTATCATACCGATGTATCTATGTCTTCATTATTGCCTGCAGATTATATTCACATTAACTGTCTGATACAAACTGTAAAATTACTAAAGCAGAAAAAACTAAAATAAGAAAAAAGAAAAAATTTTAATTTATTCAAAACTAGAAAAAATAATGAGCAATGCAATTTACAGAAAGAAAATGCTTAAGAAATTCAGATAGCTGCAAATTAACTTTATGTCCAAGCACAGGCTGTCTGTAACTCAGTGCCTTACTTTATAACAAAGCCTCATATTTTAAAAGAACGACAAAAACATGTCATATATTTGACTAAAAATCGTTTTGTGTTTGTTTTTAGTGGGCTAGCACTCCAAATGTACTCAAAGTTCAAGAGCTTCAAATATGAAATAAAGCGCGCTGCAGCGGTCTGATGGAGCCGGTTGCGTCTACAGCAGCTGTGCGTTCTTTTTTATTTAAGGATTATGCATCCACGCAGAAACTGGGACGATGTTCGTGACCTTAGGATTTGAATGTTATTCAGCGTGATACAATGTGTAACGGCTCCATCGAGAGGCACACTGCGAATTTAAAGTAATAGCATGAAGAAGTGGAAGGTGATGTGTGTGCGCGCACAGGAGTAATGGTGGTGCGTGCGTGTGTGTGTGTTTGGGGAGGGAGGGGGGG